TCTTGATATTTTTGTTTTAAYTATACCTACTTTCTTTTTGGGAATGTAGAATTCCATACCTGGAAAGAAATTTTTCAGTGCCTTAAAATTTACTTAATGTTTTTAGGGATTTGTTCCTACCTTTTAAATTCCCAAATAAATTATCTGCAACCAGAATTGAAAATAAGAATTTTTATGTTAACCTTAAACAACTGTAATCTGCAATGTGGAAGTTAAGCTGATTACTGATTTCTACACCATATCCTAGAAACTGCAGTCAATTTCTCAGAATTGATCTGGTTTAACAAATAAAATCCACCGGTTCTTGAGTTACATCTCTTATTCTAAACTTTCCAGGGGAGTAGAGGAAAGTGGGGGAGGAAATCCAAATCCTACATACTGTAATGCCCCTTAGTGAGATAATTATATCCTGTCAGATTGCTGTAAGCTATACAGATGATCAAAAGAAAGGGAAAAGAGAGTAATTACCAGATGAGGTGCAGGAAGCCCAGTTTACTAGTAGTATACATTTGGAAGCTATATGGAATTGTATGCGTTTGGAAATACAGATTGAAGTTACTTTTATTTTTCTTTTGGCTTCTTGAAAAGGCGGCGTTGTACATGGGCTTGGTGCTCAAGGGCCTGAAAGACCAGTGGCACGCAGTGCAGACAGCAGCCATGACAAGAGAGAACAGCAGACCTGCTGCCAGTTTTACTAGAAAAAAGCAGATAAAAGATGTGAAAGAAGAAAAGGCTACAGATCTGCTTGCTGGCAGGGTAAGAATTTTTGGTAGTTTCTTTTTCTTTGGTGTTTTTAAAGCTGTACAGTTCATTATCAATTTCAAAGAACTGTGATAGAAAATGAGATTTCTAATGGCTATTTGGCTTTTCTAACAGCTTTCTCTGGCTTTTTAGTTTTTTTTTTTTTTTTTTTTTTTTTGTCACAGAGCAAATTGAAATGGATGTGTGCATATGTATATTTTGTTCAGACATCACATTGTTGCTTTCTTGCATCAGAAGCATTCACTGCACTAGCGTTGTCTGTATATATGTGCCAATGACTTCTGCCTTTAGAGCACCTCTGCAAAGTCTGCAGGTGCCAAGACTGTGTGCCAAGGCTCCCCAAGGTTGGCACTCCCCGGCAGTCCGGCCACAGGACTGGTACCCCTCATRTGCAGCTCTTCAGTGTCAGTATCTTCAAAATCTGTGGTTTTTTTTTTAATACCATGAAAAGTATAAGTTCACTGGGTATTTACAGGTGCATGAGAAGCAATTCTTGCAGCACTGAAGTCAAATGTGCATTAGATGCTTTTTTCCTTAGAAGTTAGGACAGGTATATAAAAGATGTTTACTGCTGTACATAGCTATGAATTAGCAGTATTTTGAAGATCTGAGAGAACAACACCCAAAATGTTCATGAGTGAAGATGCAGTGATTCTGGGTTTGGTGTGATGCAGTTTTAATGGGAAGGCTCTTACTCTCTTTTGTGAAGGGTAGGAGCAGGGTTCATAGACCTAGGAATTTATACAGGCAAGTTGCTGTTATGCTTTATGCCTCCTCTCCCACTGAGATTTTT